AACCCCACACCAAAAATAGTGCCGACAAGAAGCTTCAAATAACTCAAAATGTGATCTTCAAAGTGTTCAAAGTTACTTAAACAGTTATTGCAATGCTCAAGTAAGTTCATCAAAATATGTGGTTCCAAGAAAAGTCCAAATTTATTCAAAATTTGGTGAAGTCAATGGTATTTGAACTTGACTTAGAATTGAAATTTTGAAATGGATTAACAAGATTATAAAAAGGATTTTATGGCCAAATTTGAGTGAATTTAATTATAGAGTATAATCAATATGGAGTATCCAAATTATGATATGTGAATTAGAAAGAAAGGACAAAGTGGATGGGTGTGTGCATTTATATAGAGATTTTTAATTTATTTTATAATATTTATTGTTTAAAAATCACTGTGTTAATGTTATTTGTAGTGTGTGAAATTATATAAACGTAGGTATCTCCCCTATGTAAAATCATCATTTAACGAATATATCGATGACCAGTCCTCACATAAATGACAACCAAAGTCAAGCATATAGCTCTCGGCAGAAAGTCAAATATCGAACACCGTGGGGTCCACCTATGTCTTTCAACTTTCTATAGGAGTTCAATTTGAGCATCAATATGTCGGCTTTTCAATCGACCCAATCAAATATTGAGGATCTGAAACCATCCATATGAAACTTCAAAAAGCGAAGAAGTAAATCGAATTTCTAAGTGGTATAGATCCCAGTCTAGTCCTCTAGGAGAGTCAAAATAGAGAAATCCTAAGCCTAGATCCTAGGGTATCTAGGGAAGGGAAAAGAAGACCTTAAAATGAGGTCAACACTCCCTTCGCAATAAAAGGCATCACTAGGCTCGTTCAGATTTTTAAAGCACGACCCTTTTTTGTGTTCTTCTTCAGGCTTCCTCGGAATAGAGGAAAAGAAGTGTGAGCAGTAGTTTCTTGCAGTAGAAGGAAGAAGAAAGAAGAAGAAGAAGATTGTTCTCCCTTGACTTCTTCTTGGTGGCTTGTGATAGAAGAGAAATTGAGTTTATTTTTCTTGTAAGTTTTTCTTGTAAGTTTTCAGTGTATATTTTCTTTGGTGTATATCAGTGTAGAGAAAGAAGAAGAGTAAGAGAGAACAACGAAGTGAGAGATCCTCTTATAAGTTGAGACGATCTACTAGTGTAAATTCTTCAAGTAGTAAATTCCTCTGCAACTCTGTGGACATAGGTCATTTGTCGAACCACGTAAATATGTGTGTTCCACTGTGTTACTATTTTCTAGTGTGAATTTTCTCATTATATTTTTTGCTTTCATCAAAGATCATTCTTCTATTTTTCTATATACCACGACAACTGGTATCAGAGCCATGGTTTCGGATCTAAGGATGAATGATGACTGCAAATGAAGTGAAGGTTTCAGGGATCGAAAAGTTTGATGACACAAATTTTGGTTACTGAAGAATGCAGATACTGAAGAATCTCTATGGGAAGAAACTTCATCTTTCGTTATTGGGAAAAATACCTGAAAGGATGGATGAGGCTGAATGGAATTTGTTGGATTGACAAGTTCTGGGGGTTATTCAATTGACCCTATCAAGGTCCGTTGCACACAACATCATCAAGGAAAGGAAGACTGCATATCTCATGACAGTCTTATCAGGTATGTAGGAAAAACCATCGATGAATAACAAGGTGTACTTGATGAAGAAGTTTTCAACTTGAAGATGACGAAATGTGTTTCTATTGCTCAACACCTAAATGATTTCAATACTATCATAAATCAATTATCGTCTGTTGAAATTGATTTTGATGATGAGATACGTGTGCTAATATTATTGGCATTGTTGTCAAATAATTGAAAAGTCATGAGGATGACAATTAGCAGTTCTGCAGGTAAATCTAAACTGAAATATCATGATATTCGTGATTTGATTTTAGCTGAGGAGGTGCATAAGAAAGATTCTGCTGAGATCTCAGGTATGAGTTCAACATTGAATGTTAATTTCAGAGGGAGTTGACAGGACAAGAGCTCAAATAGAGGGAGATCAAAATCAAAGTCTGGTCAGCAAGGTTGGCCACTAAAGAGGAACTGCAAAAATCCCAAGAAGATGGAGAATGATAGGACAATTGTGGTATCTAAAGAAGTACAGGATGCACTATTGCTGACAGTTCATAGCTCTGTTGATGATGGAAGTGAAGAGGAGAGTGAGTCTGGGGCACCCATTTCTATTGTTCCACAGACAGATAGTGGAGAACCACAGAGTTATGGAGAAATCTTGCAAGATGAAAATTTGAGGGAGCTAACAGAACTTCCACCAGGGAAGAAGACATTACACAATAAGTGGGTGTACCAGGTGAAGACTGAGATTGATGGTAGTAAGAGGTACATGACCATACTTGTTGGAAAAAGGCTTTCAGCAGAGACACAATATTGCTCATGTTATGGGAGTTGTAAGCAGAGACAAGAGTAATTCAAGAAATATCTTAGAGATGCAAGGCTATGTGGACTCTGCTGATATATTGACTAAGAGTGTTACTCTTGAGAAACTAAAGTTGTGCACAACTTTAGTTGATCTTCTAGTGTGAAGACAAGGGCTTTGAATTGCAGAGGTGGAGATTTATGTTTGAAGAAAAAGGCGATGTTGTCAGTAGAGGATATCAGTTTGAGAAGGGAGATGTTGTTGCATGTGTACCGGTCTCCAAGTGGGAGATTTGTTGAGTTTTGGAGCCCGGTCTGACCGCTCCCACTCCCACTCCCCCGATCGCAAAATTTTGCGACCGCTCCCACCTCTCTTGTTTGTGAACCGCTTTCGCCAACTCCCGTTGACGTTTGCGAATTGTCGCGCCTCCCTTCCTATTCGTGATAAAAGGCATCGCACGACTTCTTCAGTTTTTGAAGCACAACCCTTTTTTGTGTTATTCTTTAAGCTTCCTCGGGATAGATGAAGAGAAGTGCAAGCAGTAGTTCCTTATAGCAGAAGGAAGAAGAAAGAAGAAGAAGAATATAGTTCTCCCTTGGCTTCTTCTTGGTGGCTTGTGGCAGAAGAGAAATTGGGTTTATTTCTCTTATAAGTTTATCTTCTTTGGTGTATCTCGGTGTAGAGAGAGAAGAAGAGAGAGTAACAAAGTGAGAGATTCTTCTTGTAAGTCGAGACGATCGACTGGTGTAAATTTCTCAAGTAGTAAAATCTTCTGCAACTCCGTGGACGTAGGCAATTTGCGGAACCATGAAAAATTATGTGTTCCGCTGTGTTACTGTTTTCTAGTATGAATTTTCTAGTTCTATTTTTCACTTTCATCAAAGATCATTCTTCTATTTTTCTATATACCACAACATTAAGGAGTATGTCAACCTATTAATAAAAGAAATCTACATGAGTGACAATCAACCCACCATAGAAGCTAACACATTTGTATTGAGACTTTTGATCATCCAAATGATTTAAAACAATCAGTTTGAGGATCATCCAATGAGGAACCAAACCTAAACCTGTCAAATTTTTTAGAACTGTGTGTCACCTTTAAGTATAGTATCATCCTCAATGACACCATTAGACTAAGGATATACCCTTTCTCACTTAGATATAAAGCTTAGATATAACTAACCTCTTTAGCACCAAGATCAATCACCACTTGGATCAACTCAGCTAAAAAATTCCTAACCAAATACTTTCCTCCATCTAAAACTATCTAACTTGAATGACTTCATTTCCTTCACCCAGTTAGACAGAGAGTTAATTTATGAAACTTGTGAGAGGTTCAAAGAATTGCTTAAGAAAGCTCCATAACGCACTTTATATGATTAGTTGACTATACAAACTTTTACAATGGGTTGGTAGGATGCTAAGGTCAATCATAAAGAATACAACTAGGGGTTCCCTAATATCAAAACCATACAAGGAAGCCAATGAATTAATTCAGGAAATTACAACCAATAATTTCTAATTGCCTTCTAATAGAGTCACCCCTAAAAAGATATATGGTTTGCATGAGGCCAATTTTTTGAATATCTTAGTCACGCAAATTGCTACCATTTCTAGGAAGTTAGAAAACTTTATGATGAATTTAGTGTTTAGATATCTACCTAATGATGGGATGACATATGGACTAGCAGGATATATTAACACTACTGCTTTGAAAATCCTAAATGTCATGATAAACTAGGCAACAATTTTTATTCTAATACCTATAGCCCACGCTAGAAAAATAACCCAAATTTTAATTAGATAAGTAACAACTTAGGGGTATGAAGCTAGTTTTGAGGCAACACTCAACCATGTAAGAAATTTGAACCCATCCAAGGAAATAGTAACCCAAGACAAAGTTGCCCATGACCCAAGGAAAATATGTTGAGATTTTCATACCTATTTTATACTGTTTTTAATGACATTGCACTTTAAAGAAAGATATTTTTGATGTTTTGTTGCAGAACTGATGAATTAGGGTTATTGGAGCAAAAAGATGCAAAAGGAGCGAATTTGGAGCGAAAAGGACCAAAATGTGGAGATTTAAACTAGGCCACAGACGGCGCCCTCGACCCCGCCGACGACGAGTTTTTCTCGAGGCTACAGGACAAAATTCTTCAGAAGCCCGC